CAAATTCCGGTTCTTTCCTTATATCATACCCCCAGATGACGTCACGGGACAGTCCAATATTTTAGAGGGTGGTAAGACTGGGTTTCACGGACTTCTGATTTTTTTTACATGACTCCAAAACATATATAACTGGCCCTAACCCCAAGCCACCTACGTCCCACAAGAGAGTGCAGCCTAGGTCCCACGACTGAATGCAGCCTATCTGCCACACCCTGAAATATTAGACTGTCCCGTGACCTGTGGATTCTCCATGTTTGATGTAGGATATTAGGAAAGAACCAAAATTTCTTATTTCATTGCCGACAATTGTGTGTGTGTGTGTAGGTATATTTATAGCTCTGCTAAAGAAACCAGGCACTTCAAAATGTGAATAAGCCCTATGAGTCACATGACTAAGAAGTTACTAAGAATAATAATGAAAAAAAAAATTAAAAAAAAAATTAAATAAAAAAATCAGCGATAAACAATGTGGATTTGTAGAAGGAAAAGGCACAAACAATGCCATATACATCCTAAAAAAAGCTATAGAAGTAAAGACAGATTTGTGCTTATGCTTCATTGACTATATAAAAGCTTTTGACTGAGTAAGAAGAAACATGAAACTATTAGAAAAATTAAACATTGATGGAAACGATCTAGGAATAATAAAGAATATGTATTGGCAACAAACAGCAGCTAATAGAATTAACAAATGTTTAGGTACATTTCAAAGCATAACGAGGGACGTACGACAAGATGTGTACTGTGCCATGATTTTTTGTTTTATATACAGTAAAATTTAATAAGATATAAACAATTTACGTTATACCGACGACATAGTCTTGATAGCAACAAGTCCTTCGTAAGCGGGGAATCGAACCCCGGCCGCCGCGGTGAGAGCGCGGAATCCTAGACACTAGACCACTTAGGACTGTTAGCAACAAGTCAGAATGAACTACATGAAATAGTGGAAATGGTGGTAGTAGAAAGTGGTATATATCTATGTCATTGAAGGTTAGAACAAGAATTCTTGCTTGCTACAAACATCCAGTTTTAAGAAATGGCTGCGAGTCCTGGACAATCGGTAGGCAGGTCGAACAATTTCCTGCGGCTTCAGAGGTGTGGTTTTACAAAAGAATGCTTAAAATACATTAGACAGTCAAAAAGAGCAACCAAGAGGTTTTGAAAGAGGCGGGACCTCGAAGACAACTAATCACAGACATCAGAAGGAGACAGTCATCATTTTTCGGCAATGTTGTGAGAAGAAGGAAAATAGAACATGTTGTGACCACTGGAAATATCTGTGGAAGGAGGAATATAGGAAGATAACGAGAGAAGATTCCTGACAGTCTTGTTGCATGGCATGGAGGTGTGTCGCCACACGAACTGATGCATGCTGCAGGAGATCGCAAATTGTGGAGAGGCATGATCGTCCAAGCCAGTCGGCAGGGCACCTGATGACGATGATGTGCCTGTGTGTGTGTGTTTTAAACAAGGGGTGGGGTAAGGATAATCGAGGTTTTACTGTTATGGTAATTGTCGAAGGGCAAACGTACAATTCATGGAGTCGCCTTAGTGTAGCGACTAGATGATTGCCTACGAATCCGAAGATAGTGAGTTCAGAGCTAGACAATACACAAATAAACACCCTGGTCGACCCAGTCTTAAATGGGAACTAGGTAAAGTCTTGAAAAGTAAAGGCGGCCGGCGTAACGCTACTCACATCACCCATCAAGTCCCAATCGGTCTATAAAATATAGCTCTAGCCCTGTATGCGGCGTCCGTGGCTTAGGCGTTGCGAGTCCGACTCGTAATCCAACGTACCGTGATCGGAAACCCACTGCTGGCTGCGTGGATTTTTAACGTGGTATGGGACGTCGCAGGTCGTCCCAGCCTCAAATGGGTACTAGGATGGCTGTCCTGGGGAAGTAAAGACGACCGGCGTAATGCTGACCAGCAAGTGCCAATTGGTCTGTAAAAAAAATGCCGGATGCGCCTAAAGGCGTGTAAAGGGATCTTTACTTTACTTATTTTACTAGCCATGTATGCCCAATACGCCTGAAGGTGTGGACAATGGTCTCTTACAGGTCACCAAGAACAGTGGACGATTTTCCCCTTTCGTTCTTGACTACAGATCAATCACTAACTTGTTATTTATGTACTTGTCTTTCCCTGTGGTGTCAGCTCCCGAGTGTCACCGCACGTAACCACGGTAACGGAGCACCTTGTGTCCGGTGACAAGTCAGGATTGTTCTGTCATTACAAATTTCCACCCTAGTGTCAGAAAAATGCAGAACGGACAAAGACAAGCCAATTTATGTGTATATTTTAGGACATTAAAGGACCTTCATTGACATAATATGACATACTATTAGGAAGGTGGGAAAGGTGTGTATGTGGGGGGGGGGGGGGAGGGAAGGAGGGAGGGGAGTCTGAGAAAGTTAGTTGCATGTCCTTTACAGGATGTTACAGAATCAACACGAGCATTTTATGGCTATTGTAGTTTTTCTAGACGTACGTTCAGTAATGTGTCACTGCTACATAACAGTCGGCTCTCGATTTAACTGTTCAAACCAACGCAAAACGGTCTGTTGTCAAATCGCTTGCATTTGTGATCAAACCCAGCACCCCGAAAGGCCCTCGCAACGCTAAGTCACATACGTCTGAAAAAGCTATGTGAAATAGGGGCTCTCAGATAAGGCTATAAGGAAAAGTGTTGTCTTTTAGTGTAATGAATAGTATCAAGGAAGGGTGGCTCTTACACACTTTCGTTTCTGGTAAACTGTAACATCGGCCATATTGAACGCCATATTAAATGTCTTCAGAAGTCGGATATGTCAGCCGAAAGGCGCCAATATCGCAGCCATGCTGTAAAGGAGCGCCACACAGTTACGTCTTCGAGTAAATGCAAAAGAAAAAGAAGAAGAATATTGACTTGACTTTCGGACGTAAACTAACCCATCCGCTATACTTAGCTCCTTTACTGTTTCGTAAACTATTTGTTCTCTCTTGCCTCCTTTTTTTCTTCCCTATAATTTCCCACCTCTTTAAAAACTGTTTCGACAGAGCAATAACGGAGGACAAGGTAAAGGTAAGGTAAAGGTAAAGTCGGGAGATGTGAACCAGCGTCATAGCACACGGTTAAAAACCATAAGTGCTCTGCTACGAGTACAGACAGCTAGTAAGAAACTGTCCGCCTGTGTCGCTGTCCGCACGCAACTCCGTAGCTACAGCGACGTTTCTCCATTTACCCCAGAGTGTTAACTCTGGTATCCATTACCTAGAGGCTGGGTGAACCCTGGAACCGCTCAGTTTCGAACACTGCAGCGGGTTTGAAAGCGGTCTCCCATAGGCTGCGCTAACACAGCCAAGGTCCCTAAGACAAATAGCAAGGGACGAGCAGAACGAAGTGAACACATGACACCAAGGACACGCTTGGCAGGAGAACTCATGTGGCGAGAAAGTTGACCCAATTTTGATTTGACTTTTTAGCGAAAACTAAAACTTTGGACAGACAGCGACATTATAGTTTGAATAGCGTCCATGGCTTAGGGGTTGCTCACGCGCTTTGTAATGCTGGGGAAGCCGGCTTCATCCCAGTTGCCAGAGCTTGAGCCTTGCAGTGGTATCGAGAAGCCGACCATCCAAAAGCAATGGCAAATCATTGAACGTGAATTTGCCAAGAAAAAACCATGGACGTGGACAAAAGATATCAAGGACACCTTTGGCAGGAGGATTCGTAAGGTGGGAATGTTGACAGAGGAGTGACCTGATTTTCCGGCGTAAACTATTCGTAAACTTCGGCCATATTGAACGTCATTATTGTTGGGATAGAATAATAATGGAGGGCAAGGTTCTTAAAAGAAATGGCAGGAGAGAAGCAGCACGATGTGGACACAAGACACGAAAGACGCCCTTAGTTGAAGAACTCCAGAGGCGGGAAGGTGGTGATGGTGAGGTTGTGCAAAGGACCAGCTGTATGAATGAACAGCAGAAAAGACTGGCTACGAAAGGCAGACGTGGTTAGTGCCTTGTGGGAGAGCGTGTACAGTTCAGAGGAGCAGACGAATCATCACAGTCTGGTGAGATTGATGCAAAAGAGGGGGGAAAAAGGGGGGGGGGGGGGTAGTGACGAGAGGTTCTAGCAGATGCTCGAGGCTCAGAGAAAAGGCAAGACGGACGTTTAATCAGAATGCTACTGTCACCATTAGTATCAGAACTCTTCGCTGGCTGCTGTGGATAGGGACGAAGCGCTTACGGTAATGCCGCGAGTGGTTTAAAGTTGGTTCTTTAATCAAATCAATTCAAATCAGACTGGCTACGAAACTGAATTATTCTGTGTTATGCAGACAATGTTAGCGTGTCGCTGGGTATCTAACCACTTCTGTTATAAAAGCAATTATATATAGACACACACACACACCCACGCGCACATTCGAAAACACACACACACACACACACACATACACACATATATATACATATATATAATGTTAGTTAGGTGCGTATCCTTTACAGGACGTTGCAGAACCAACCCTTGCATTTGTTTTGTGGTTTTCCTAGGCAAGTTAACGTCCAGTAGTTTGCCATTGCCTTCTAGACGGTTGGCTTCTCGATACCACTCTCGAAACCAACGCAAGGCGCAAGTCCTGCAGCTGGGATCGAACCCGGGACCCCGACATTACAAAGCGCGTTCGTAACGCCTAAGCCACAGACGCCGACACACACACACACACACACACATATATATATATATATATATATATATATATATATATTATATATGTGTGTGTGTGTGTGTGTGTGTGTGCATATATATGCAGAGAAAAACTAGTAAAGAATAATGATGCTGCTAATCTTGGACTTAAAACAACACGCCAATCTCCGCACAACAGTACAATAAACAGTGCGTGCAGAATAACGTGCAAATTATTACTTTTATCATTACTAGTATTATGACGATGATGGTGATGCTAATCATAAACACAAGAATGCACACAACGAGCCTGGAGTATACTTACAGCCACTTGACAGCCACGCACCTGTCCGCGCACAACAGCACGATAATTAGGGCGCGCAGAATAATGCGTAAATTTGGAGGGCGCATACTGGATTGGCTGGCTAGATGTACTTCCGGCAGATCACATGACCAGTCACATGTCGAAAATTACTGCGTCGGCTCATTGACCACACGTGCACATACAAAAAACACTCAAATTTTTCATATCCGAAACGAAACTAAAACTTCCTCCGATGAGATGAGATAAAGTTGATGTCAGTAAATTTCAAAGTTTTGTGTTTTGTGCTAATTTTTATAATTTATTATAGCCTGCAATTAAGATTTCCCCCCACCCACAAGTATATGCAAATATGCTTGTAATTATTATTATTATTATTAGTTTCTTTTTAACATTAGCACTTCATTACTAATTATTCTTCGAAGATTGAAGTCATTTACGCAGTTTGATAATACCATATTAACTTGTCTATGGACAATGGTCCAATATTGTTAACATGCTTGTTTGTTTAACAAGGTAATGGGTTTTCAGAAATGACAGAGTAACATTTGCTTAATGGTATTCGATTACACATTTGATTGTTATCGATGTCTTCTTAATCTCTACATCATCCTCTCCATCTTACTGTATGAGCTCCTATCAGTACCAGACGTGTAGGAAAGGGTTAATTTGTGAAACCTTGGAGTCTGACATTTGTTGCTTAATTCGTTGTACTTCCATGCTTATTAATTACGAAATAGTCGATGTCGTCAATTGAATTGTGGACTTTTCTCTAGACAGCCCATCTTCTGGAGCCACTTGGATTACGTTGCTTGTTTTTGTTTTCTGTAAGGAAAGAAAAAATAAAAATCATTAATATACTACTGTCACTACCGTCTGTATTTACAAGTTTATTGTTTTTCCTTTTTTTTTTTTTTTTTTAAAGTGTGGTTTAGACAGGGAGAGGTGAGTCTGAGGATGTAGGATCGCTTGGCTGAAGCTGTCGCCACAGACTGTGCAGATTAGAATATGTCTCATTGTGTGTGTGTGTATTTTGTGTGTGTCCTTGACAGAAAACCAAAATAACTTTACCTTGGGTTGAACCCAGTTCTCCCGTACTAGAGCCCGACTCTGTAATCACTCGGCCCGCCGTCCCTCATTCATATTCAAAAATACGTGTAAAGTTAAAGAATTATCGTTTAGTGGTAAAAGAGTTGCACCGAGGCAGATACTGGGACCCAACACGTAACATTTCCGAAGACAACAGTGGATACTGTTCTAAAAAATATAACAACCTCAGATAACATCTAATGGAAGTTGTATTAAAGAATTTTTCTGTAGAATAGTCCAGATCCCCTGGTAACTCCTCGCAGTACCAATATTTTCAGACCGTGATGATCCATCTGTGCTTCTGCACTGTTCACTCGCCCTCAAAGGACCCCTACAGCATCTAGCATGTCATGCATCAATACACCAACAAGATGTGCAGAACCATCCAGTCTATCTGCCTGTTCGTGTCCCAATACACTGGCATATCCTGGGGAATATATTCACGGACCGTACAGGTCTCGACTTTTCTCAACATACTCTGTGAGTCGGTTACAATTACGACATGTGTGTACAACTGATTCTCAAGCCGGCGAAAGGCAGCAGTGACTGCCTTCACCTAGATGTGGTGTTCTCGTATACCAGGCTAACATTAGATGTACATTAGAAATAATACCAGAAGACGCCCAATTATGGTTTGTTTGTATTATATTTAATACAGTCTCGTCATCCTCTTATGGGATGCAATTTCTAGTTATTTTGAAGCTCAACCCTGGGGTGGGGGTGGGGCGCGGCTAAATATAGCCGGACCTTAAATGTGACCTAATGGCTGAAGAAGTTTCCGGGACTTCTCCACAGGTTATCCTCATCCTCATAGTGGCACTTTGTGTCATCGGGTGTTTACCGCGTGTGTGATGTCCTTGTGGGGTACAACTTACTTACCTATATATAATACAGGAATATCACTAATTATAAATTGTTATTTAGTTATGTTAAAACAACCTTCTGTGGATATTGTACTACAATCCTTTGGATATTTTCTCCAGGTCATGCCAGTATGCTGAGAAATGAGCAGGCAGATAGACTGACTGGCTCCGCAACACATAGTGATGAACTGATGTATGACAAGTTAGATATTGTGAGGGCCCTTTGGGAGCGAGTAAACAGTGCGGAGGCGCAGATACATCTTGGGAGAATGGCGCTGCGAGGAGTTAACCAGGGGATCTGGCTGAAGCCTCAATCTCAGAGGAAGGAAGACGGATATACAATCAGACGGTTACTCGTACCATTGGAACTCTTCGCTTGCTGCTGAAGATGAGGACTGAGCACTTTTAGGAGTGTACCGACTGCTGTCGATTCTTAATTCAACATTCAACATGTTAAGGCAGTTCATGAAAATCTATAATCATTATTTGGACATGTCGTATTTAATTACATGAAGCTATATAATTACCGTTTAGCAATGTTAAAGAATGTTACGCAAATCTACAATTATTATTTACTCATGCTTTATATCATCCTATATATATATATATATATAAACTATGCCCTTCAACATCTGCTAAAGTCAAAGTGTCTGTCTCGCTACACAAAGATCAAAACATGTCAAACGTTGATAAGACCAGTCGTTTTATATGGCTCTGAAACTTGGAGCACAACTAAAAGTGATAAACGTTTATTCCAGGTTTTCAAAAACATAGTCTTACGACGAATTATTGGACCCATCAAAGATGCAAACAGCGGGGAATGGAGAGTGAGAAGTAATAACCAAATTCGTAAGCTGTTTAAATCACCATTGATCACTGGCTTGCTGAGAGCTAATAGACTGAAATGGTTTGGGCATACTGAAAGAATTTCAGATGACAGAACGAACGAACGAACGAACGAACGTTATTTTCAAAGGTCACAAATTGGACACGCAGGCCCGTCTTACATTCGGCCCTTCCAAACAACCGTCTTTCACACTGCAGCTGTTATTATATTAAAAAGCATGTTATATTCATATGATAATATTCATATTATGAATTTTTAAAAAAAGGCACACACACACACAAAAGCATGGGTGGTAAAATGCATTCACACACTTGCGCGCGCGCGCGCACACACACACACACACTCACTCAAACACACCCACATACCTTCACACACAAATAAACACACCCCTATTCATCCACAAACATACCTACCTACCCACATAGACACGCACATTCCACACACGTACATACATACAGGATATATACATGCACACAGAGACACACCTATAGAAACATATGCAGAAACACATAAACAGACATAAGCGCACAGACTCAAAAACACACAGAGGTATACACACAAAGACATACACATGTGACACACACACAAACCCGCATACACTCACATGCAGACTCACACACCGGAACACACACACACATATACACAAACACACAGAGACACAAACAAAAACACGCACACATACACACTCAGAGACACACACACATACACACAATCGCAGACACACACATAGACGCTGATGCTCACGCAGACACAGACACACAACCACAGACATACACACGCAGAAGCATACGCAGACATTTATAAATACAGGCACACACACAGGTACACACCCACAGACACACAAACGCAAACACATACGCCGACATACATATACACAGGCACACACACAGACACACGCAGACACACACACACACAGACACACACATATATGTAGACACACACAGAGACACTACACACAGAAACACGCACAAACACACACAGACATATGCACACAAAGACATACACAGATATATGCACACAGACACACACAGAGACATACACAGATATATATACACAGACACACACAGATACATACACATATATATGCACACAGACACACACAGAGACATACACAGATATATGCACACACACACACAGAGACATACACAGATATATGAACACAGACACACACAGAGACATACACAGATATATGCACACAGACACACACACAGACATACACAGATATATGCACACAGACACACACAGAGACATACACATATATATGCACACAGACACACATAGAGACATACACAGATATATGCACACAGACACACACAGAGACATACACAGATATATGCACACAGACACACACACACAGACATACACAGATATATGCACACAGACATACACAGATATATGCACACAGAGAAGCGCATACACACAGACATTCACGGAGACACACGTACACACACAGGCACTTCCAAACAAACACACACACACAAACACAACAAAAACACACACACAAACATACACGCAGGGACACACACAACCACATACACACAGACAAACAAACACACGCACAGACACATGTAGACACATACACACAGATACACATCTGGCAGTCTGGTAGACTCAGTTTCAGCTTCATAGCAAACGGGTCACCCCTGCGCCAACGAAAAACACAAAGAATGTTTATCACAGTCCCTTGTGGAAAGACTGACAGACTGCTATCTCAGCATATCTAGCATACACACGTATTAAAGCATACGGTAGCGATCCGAAGTGCTAACACAAACAGTCCGACATTAGAAACGCAGTTCATCATTGATGGTAGCAGAAGTCACCAACAGATCAGCAGTTGCCCACGCGATAAAGTTTTATCACATACGGGCACCACCAATACTGCGACGAGAGGAATCGCGCCATTATCTGAATCTACAATTCACACCACCACGTTGGTCACAGTCGAAAAAACATTCCAAATGAAATCCACAGCTCACAGTGTCACGCCATTCATTCAACTCAGAAGCTGGGCGACGAAACCATATCCAGTCTACAAATGAAGCAACACTTCAACGGCCACCGTCCGGCAGAAGCAAAAAATTTGCCTCGGCTCCAAACAGTGCCCCTGCCTAGCGTCTTTTCTGACCAGAAGTTCTCACACACAGATTCACAAACAGACACATACACACAAATACAAACACACGAAGACACACAGATACACTCAAACAAACACACACAGACACATAAACAGAGACGCACATGCATACATACACAGAGAAGTAAATATGTGTACACAAGGGAGATAAAT